AAATCAGCACTTTATCTTCCTCCCTAAAACAAAAAACTAGACAAAACATATAAAACAAAGCCACAGCCACCTAAGATCCTTGACGCAGGCACGAAGGCGTGTGATCCTTCAGCACGTAAGCCCTCCGCGGCCCCGGCTCACTGCCTGGGGAGAATTTCCAGCAGAATATAGAAAATCCAAAAGAATCTAGAAGCTGTTGGAATCAACAAATGAATCGAGCAAGTCATTATGAAACAATTGTATTTCACCACATCAGCGACAAATAAAAAACAAAAGACCTAGAGACACCTCACAAAAGACAGTATCCAAATGGCCAATAAGTATTTGAAAAGATGCTTATTAGCATTACTAGTAATTATGGAAATTAAAGTTAAAACCACATAAAGATACCAGTACATACTTACCAGAACTCCTGAAAGTAGAAAAACGAAAAATATCAAGCGTGGCAAGCATGATAGCAAAGGTCCCTTCTGTGAACACTTGGAAACGCAACAGGCTGACCAGCCAGTTGGAAAGGAAGCCTCTGGGCCTCTCTCACCTTTGTTTAACAAATGCTTCTTGAAGGCAGTGAGAAGCAGTGGTTCCCGTGGTGTACTTATGAACACTATATCCTTTAATTCAGACAAAAACAGTAGCATGCATTAGTTTTCTAGGATGGCCATTAACACAATACCAAAAGCTGAGTGGTTAAAACAACAGGCCAGAAGACCAAGAGCAAGGTGTTGCCTGGGTGGCGCTTCCTCTGAGGCTCCAAGGAGGGGTCTCTTCCTAGTTTCTCCTCCTACCTGGCGACTGTAGGCATTCTTCCACCAGTGGCCACAACTCTCTGCAGGCTTCACATTGCCTTCTCCTCTGTGTTACCTTCCTTTGCCTCTCTAAGGACACTCAGTATGACAGTTTTGACTGGTGAGAGGTAAACAGAAATTATGCAAGTGGAGTTCTTGAAAAGCTGTTCTGCTAATAAAAGGGACACATGTTTGCACCTTTCCAGCAAATCCTTTCTTCTTGAAACACTTGGTGGCATCCTCAGGTGTAAATGTCAGAATCCCTGAGACCTCAATAGCATGTGGAATCTCTGCACCAGCCCGAGAGAGTCTGCTGGCAGACTCTTCTGTTATAAAAGAAAAACAAGCTCCAATAGGGTTTAAGCCACTGATAAAGTTGGTTTGTAGTCGAATACACTTTTTAAGAAAATACTGGCTGCATCGGTCCCAGCTAGTTGCATCATGCAGGATTTCTGGTTGCAGTGCATGAGCTCTCTAGTTGTGGCTCTCAGGCTCCGGGCCGCAGGAGCTGAGCAGCTGTGGTGTGCAGGGTGAGCTGTTCCCCAGCATGCAGGGTCTCAGGTCCCTGACCAGGGTCACACCTGGGTCCCCTGAACGGCAGGGTGGGTTCCCAACCACCGGGCCACCTGGCAAGCTCCCAAACACACTTTTACAAAACTCAATAGCTAGGTGTTTGACAGACACTGTAATGTCAACTGTAACTGGACAATTCCAATTTCTCTGGAGACTAAAAATAAAAAATGCCTTCATACCAATGTAGGTCCCAGACTGGTCCTCTTTGAGTGACTGGGGTAATTACCTGACCGGCTCCCACACATTAGCAATAACATGCAGAGACGACTGATTAGATTCTTTATTGATTCCACCAATGTATTAGTAGACATGATAATAAATGGTACTTTTACATTCTCTTAACCAAAAATATAACAAATATTTACACTCAATAAAAATACAAAAAGCATACAGAGGCACTGTCTTTCTAAAAGACATAAGTTTAAGAGGTATCAAAAAATAGGAGACAAACATTGCTTGTTACAGGATACTTTACAGTCACTGAATTGTGCAGTATAATTGCTATTTGATTATTATGACTGTGCAGTTTTGTCTTTCGCTGATAAGCTCACGTTTCAATTTTAAAAGGTCAAGTACAACTGCATTCTGTGTATCAAAAGTAAAGAAGCCTTAAAAAGCACAACAAAAATTAAAGATGGACTGGGGTTCAAGTTTAAATCTGAAAATGTACTTTAACACTTTTGAAGATTTATCCCTTTGCTCTAGCCTTTACGGTAATACTAAAGGGATACATCTATTTTAATATCACATGTTTTAGAAACATATATCAGAATAACAATCAGTTTTAAATACACAAGGAAACTCTCCCCTTCTTCTTGAAGGGGAGAGAACACTTTATAAAACTTAGGTTTGGATATCTCCATGATTACTGTCACATTTCAAGCCTAGGAGATTTTCAAGGTGATTATGCAGACTTATCACCCTCATAAAAAATCATTTGAAGGCTTTTTCTCCCCAAATATCATACTGAAAGTAATCATTTGGAGAAAGTAATAATCTATTAAGTTACAATAAACTTTTACGGAAGTACATATTGGGGTTATTAATTCTCTATATCTTTCATTATGAAGAGATTTTTTTGTTGTTGAAATTCATTATTTGGCAAGTTTGCAGTGAGGACTTACTGCTTCAATATTCCTGGCAGATTCAGAGTTGTGGTACGATGAGAGCACAAGTCTCTTTAGTATGCTTATAAATTCATAACATAAAAACAAAATCAAGGGGACTGAGAACTGGAGCAAGTCTAGGTTAAGGCTTCTCTTGTTCTAGTCATATGACAAACTAAGAGAAGGCAGGAATGTACCCAATATCAAAACATAAAGCTCAAAATGCCACGACCTTTTTAAGGGATACACACATATCAAACTACAAAGCATTTGGCTAGTTCCTGATCAATGTGATCAGCTGATCCAAACACTCACAGTTCAAGCTACAGGAAAACAAGGGCAGCTACAAGGTGCAAGTCCAAAACCACAAGCCTCTGACTCTGTGCAAGATGATTATTGACAACATTAAGGACAACATTTGAAAGACCTGTTAAAAAAACATACTGTGCAAACAGCCCATTTTTCTGGGAAGTGGATACAAAATGGTGAGAATAAATACCCAAACTTGATAAAAAGATGGTTATAGCAAAAATATCTTTCACTTTCTTTGTTTTGTTCTGGACATGAAAATAATATTGTGTAGATCAGTGAAAGAAAAATTTATGATCAAAGGACCACTGTTTATAGATCAAAACTTTGCAGTGTGACTTTCAAACTATTATTAGATTTTTGATCCAGGTTACTTTCCATTTCAATGGGCCAAGATAGCTATGGAGCCAACTGGCCTCATTCTAACATACCTGGGGGTTAAATTTCTAAGGCTTAAGTTTCCGATTTACAATTTTTTGCCCGTGGCAACTTTTCAGACATGTGATCTTTCCTAAGATGAAGAAACTGTCATTTTGATAGAAAAGATGGACTACTGCCATTTACCAGTTGGAACTAATTTATGATTTTAAAATAAAGGAAATAGGAGGATGATAGAAGGAAGAGAGAGCTAGGAAAAAAATGAGAACAAACTTTTCAAAAGGAAGTCATAAGCCAACTAAATCCTATAAATTGACATATGGACAACCACTCAGAAGTAAACCTATTTTTGGTTGCAAGTTGATCCGGGTAGTGCACATTAATGGCTTTGGCTTTTGTTTTTTTGGTAGTCACAGAAGTTTATTAAACTTTCATTTGCCTTTATACTAAAAAACAAATGAAAATATTTAAAGATATAGAAAACATTATACTTTTTTATAATGTTGGAAACTGTCTCATCCAGTAAACAATTACTGAAATTTTAATATTTAAGAGTGCCATGCCCAACAGGAGATACAATTTTTTATATATATATATATATATATATAAATAAATAAAATATATCTCCTTCCTCTCAAGGCCTGAAGTGAGAACCAAGAAATAATCATTTCCATAATTCTAGCTCCTCTTTCCCCCACAAAATTTTCAACCAATCATTGATTCTGGCATGCCAAACTTTACCTACAGTCAACTGGGAGCTGCAGTGTTTATTAAGATTGAAAAAAGCCTTGTGCTTTGAGATGGGGGTGGGGGTGGGGAATGCTGCAGAACACTTAGCACAAAGCTAAATTATCTTCATGGTTACACTGCCAACGATAACACATCCATTAAGAAAGAACTCCATATCTGAGTTGTGAAAAATTTTAGTTACAGGTTCCTACAGAGTGGAACTGTCTAGAACTCAGTCTCCATTTATTGGATTTATACTTACAGTTAGAAAGGGCATGATGTTCACTTCAGAAAGAATTTCTATACGTGTTACGTAAGATAAAAATTTCATTCTTTGGAAATTAGGATTGCTATACCATCATACCCCCTCCTTTTCCCAAAAGGCTGCTGACTCTGCGGTAGCTTCATTTGGCTTTCCAAATCCTGACCAGCAGATGGCAGTATTTTTCCTTCCTAACATCTCAACAGCAAAAGGATTCCTGTTCCATTCAAAAAGACCCACATTGCATTGGTGCTACAGATGGTTACATCTCTGTATAGTCAAAGGTATTATCATCCTGTAAAGATGGCTTCTGTTTAGTCAGATCAGAGACAGTTTTATGGCCTCAAACATGAACATCAGTTAACTAGAGTTCCCAAATACAAGCAAAACCACAAACTTCAAATAATAAGTTACTTTTCAAATACATAAAAATATCCTTGGCATTGGCAGACATTCTGAATTTGTCTGTTAACCCAAGCTATGGCTTGAAAATACTACCACTCTACTATCTTAAAAATATTGTGTTAAAGGAAAATCTATAGTGATATATATATGGGGAGGACTCAAGTTTGAATTTGTTCTAGTAACTGTGGTCCCAAGGCAGATGTGGTGTGCAAAGCAGAGACTGGTATCCAGGCACAACATCCATAGCTGAGGAAACTATGCATCTGCAGGGATTAAATGAAAGGAAGCATGACTCAGGCTATCTCATTGCTCAGATTACAGGGAACAAAACCTCTGGGTTAGCAGCAGGAGCAGCGTGCTATGTGCTGGCAACGGCCTGCGGAATCATGAGATAGTTCTGCCCACTCCTTCTTCCAGGACTTTCAGTAGACTTCAACCAGGTCAACACAAAGGCTACACTGCTGAAACCTGTTCATTTTCTGAAAACAACAGAAACATAGTTAAGTGGTAGATCTGCATATTAATAAAGATCAACTAACAATCTAGTTATCTTTTAGAAAATTAGTCAATTTCAACAAAGAAATCTTCTCAAATATCCCATCAGAGGCCAGATTTTACCGTAATGACATTTTTGAGTTCTGACCACAGTGAAGACTGACAATCAATTGGAATTCCAAAAGTGCTTTGTAACCACTTTATTACGACACTGTTTAAAAGGATAAAATTCATTTATGCCAACTTTGTCAAGTCAGTCAAGTTTTGCTAATAAGAGGGACTCTATCAAACAGCATGACTTCAGATAATTTGACATTGTGATACTTGGAGTTTCAAGTGCCCAAGCATTAATACATAACACAACTCCACCAATGTCAAGTGTCTTCTCTTAAACTTATCCCTTTTGGCTGAGCTGCTATCTGAGATAAAGGGTACTCCATTTGAGCTGGAAGAAGGGTACTGGGCACAGAGAAACAAGGAGCTTGTCCTCTCCATTTACAAAAACACACCATCATATTTAGGCTTTTTTTTTTTAACAGAGATTTCTAAAGCAGTGAAGAAAACATTTCTGATTACATGAAATACCAGAGTAAAGATCATTCAAAGTGCTAAGCAATTTATTTAAGAGCCATTAAGGTGTTTGTCAACATACCATCTGCTTCGCTATCTGCGTCAGTCACATCTAATTTACGCCTCTGAGGCTGAATTACAATCTTCGATGGAACACAGGCCACAGGGCTGCTACTGAGAGAAGCTGGTGGCAGTCTAGAGAGGCTGTTATGCATCATCTTTGACCTCTGCACCGCCACACTATATTCTGGAGGTTTTAGGTGGAGGTGGGGTCCTTCCTTTAGGTCCGCTAAAGAAATCCCCATGTATCCTGGAGGAGTGGGAGGTGGCTCCCTATACCTATCCTCCTTCTTGGGTGAGGTGACACAGTACACTGGCATGAAAAATAAGTAATGGAAACGTTAATGAAAAACAGAAGAAATGGAAAAAAAACCCACAAAACTTATTACAATGATAAAATAGAACTTAAAATACTGACAAAATGAATATATTTGAACACAATGGCAGTAGATTAAAAACTTTTTAATAAGTTTAATAAACTTGATATTTAAATTTGTGTTTAAAATACATAAATTACACTAGGTTTTACAAACATTAAACAGAGTGAGACAGTTGAAGATGACACTGGTGACAAACTTCTTCCTTTCACAGGTCAGCCTGTAAATCACAGAAGTGTGTGACAAATTCCTCAAGGAACACCAGCCCCAAAAGTGAGTCAGAAACATTTGAGAATTCATCCTGGATATCTAAAGTGTATTAAATGGGGAGACTTTCATAGAAATGACATTTAAGCCCTCTACTTAAGTGCTACTTTTCTCTTTCTCTGACATGAACCACTGTTTCCTGGCACTCTAGGGTAGGTAAGTTGTCATTGCTGGCACATAAATAACTTTAGAGAGGAACTAATTCCTTCTAGGACCTTATTCCTAACCTCTGCTCTGTGCTTAAGTGAATAAGAAAAATTTTAGGAAATCTACCTTAAGTTAACTTTCTCTGATTTTCTCAGTGGACATTAGAAATAATAGTGACTTAAAAATCTTTTTCCCTACATTTGTACACCCTGGGTCTAAATCAAAGTTTCAAAAAGCACCAGAAATAGGTTAGATAAAGAGGAAGGTTCCATGAAATTAAGACCAATCCACAAGACTCATAGGACCAGTAACTCTGAATGTCTTGATGATATCAGTAACTTTTAAAATACAAACAGTCTATATACACAGGGAAGGAAATGGCTACCCATTCCAGTATTCTTGCCTGGAGAATTCCAAGGATAGAGGAGCCTGGTGAAGAGTCGAAAATAACTAAGCGACTAACACAAATCTATATGCAATAAGAAGAGACTAAATTAAAAAGGACCATTAAAATCCTTCCTTTAGAGAATCAAGTTTTTCCATGCCGAAATTTCTACAACTCTACCAGTAAAATCTGCAGATAATATCAAGGTCAGAAAGGATTTCCATTCCCATCTGAGGAGAATGGAGTGAGGAGAAGGTAGGGAGGTTGTTAAGAGAAGACAAGCATGAAGAACATTAAGAGATTTGCCCAGAGTCAACTAGAAATGAACAAAAAAAAACCCCAAAAACATTTTTAATCTATTTTCCTAAATGGATAAGAGGAAGATTTTACATCCAAGCTTGCATATCAGTATAGTGGTTACTTAAAAGGCTTTAATAAAAAAAACCGTAAGAGTTGATTATAATATTGATTCAAAGTACTCACTCCACACAAAAGAAAACCAGGTGCTATTATGTCCCAGTACTCACGTAACTCAAGAAAGAAAGGGAAAAATGTATTTGACAGGCAAATACTAAAAGAATACACCGAGAAAGCTGTGGGCAGTTAGAACAGAATCCACAAAGAGAAGTTGGCACACGCATAACATGCACTAGGCAGGTATAATGAAAAAAGTTTTGGACTTCTTTTTTTTTTGGCCACACCACGCAGCATGTGTGATCTAAACTCCCTAACCAGGGATCGAAACTGTGGTCCTTGCAGTGGAAGCTCAGAGTCTTAACCAGCGGACCGCCAGAGAAGTCCCTATTTCAGACTTCTTTATCACACCTTTTCCCCCACCTGTAACACCTAAAAGTTTTATCATATTCAAAGCTTCTAACCATGTATGCAAAGCAAGAGGGTTCAAACAATTTATGAGGTGGCAAAGAGAATCCCTTTATTACTATGGCATAGTAATGTAATAATATTTCTTAATGAAACCAAAAAGATCTCAAAAGCAAAACCAGACATATAAACCCATCTCCCTAATTAAATTACTTCATGTCAGCCCTTTCATTTTAAATGACTTGACTATCTGCCCCAAAGCCCTTGGGAAATCATGAACTTTTTGAAAATAATTTGCATATGGAGGGAGGAAACAGAGATTAGAATAAGAGAAAGGAATTTTGCAAGAATAAAGTTCTGGGCCAAGGTCACGGTTTACCACTTAAATTCTAAACGCCACAGATATGACAAAGAACACATAACTTACCAATCAAGCCTTTTTCTGTACTTGAAGTAACAGTTTTATAAACTGGGTCGATGCCCTCTTTGTGGTCCAAGCCTTCAGATGATTCAGCGGGGGTGTGCTCTAGCACTCTCCGTTTAACTGTCCCATAGTTTGGTTCGTATGTGTCAGACAGAGAACTAGAGGAAGCCCAACTCTGTCTCATCTGATTAGTCTCCAGGCTTCCTTTACACTGACCACAAGTTCGAGAGCAGCCTTTAGGACAGCTGTAGTGCTCACTGTCAGTGGGTTCAACTTCAGCTATGGGACCATCCAAATGGGTGGGTCGGTAAGAGTTCAAAAACTCCCAGCCTTTGGGGTTTGGAAGACTTTGGAAGTTGTCATGGGAACTGCTTGAGCAGGAAGTCCAACTTCCACGACCACTATCAGCTGTTTCTATAATGATGTGCTCATGAGAAATCTCTTCATTGCTCACAGATGATGAGACAGCTAAACTCTTGTTCATTAGAGATGGCTTTGAGAGTGTCCACCTAAAATCAGAGATACACAATTAAAAGTAATTTACTGGCTTAATGGAAAAACTGCCTTCTGTCCACTGCCTACAAGAGACTACAGAACACAGACCACAAGTGCTTAACGCCCACATAACCTTGTGAAAAGAAAGTCACTGTAGTCAATCATCACTAAACTTCCACTGGCATTAATGTTTATACTTAGTCAGAAACTCAAATATTAGCAAGGTTTCCTCGGAATTCTTCTTGAATAAAATTAAGTTTACATTTTCATTCTTGGTCACACAATGCTAGATTCTCTCCATGCACACAGAATTAAGAACTTCAATTACAGGAACCATGTTTTATTTTTCAGCATGTCTCTGAGGTACCAAGTGAACAGCAACTCCCCCAGTTACCTACTGCTGAATGGGTTCTATCATTTCCAGCAAGGGTTCTCAAACTTACTTCATGGGCCAAATCCAGTCAAGACTGTTGTATTATGTTCTCGGGAAAAGCATGGTTTTTACATTTTTAAACAGTTTAAACAAAACAGAACAAAATACTCCAAAGATTTTGAGACAGGGACCATATGCAGTCTGCAAAGCCTAAAATTTTTACTCCTTTAAATGGGCCTTTACCTGCTCACCCCGGATAAGGTTTGTGAAGTCCTGATATTTGGTACAGAGGATAGACCAGGATCTGCAAGGTGGAGTCCAAGGACAAATCGGGGCTTCTACCTGCTTTTGCATATCAAGTTTTACTGGGACACAGTAAAACTGGTTTGTTTACAAACTGTCAAAGGCTATTGTGGTCCGACAACAGCAAGGTTGAGCAACTGCAACAGAGACCTTACCGCCTGCTACGTCTAATGTATTCACTAATTTTTACAGAAAAAGTTTGCTGATTCCTGGTCCAGAGAACCACAGTTTAGAAACCTTTACAAATATGATAATACTTTACTATTTAAAGTATATCAGATTTAACAATATCAATTTACAGTCCACTTTCTCAATGCTTTCTGAAGACTTCCATTTTGTTTGATTCGAAACAGAAATTTAGAGTTCACATGTTTTTTTTGGATTGACTTTTCTTAGCTGATAATTCTTATGCTCCAATCATACTTTGCAAGATAGGGCTCAAGGACTAGTCCTGCTCTCCCAATCTGTCCACAGTGTGTATAGCACTTTGAGGGTACTTCCCATTACACACTCTGTTTCTGAGCAGTCTCTAACCTCACAGCCAGAATGCAAGACGCTTCCCACATACCAACAGCATCTTCACGTTGAATTCTTATTGATCAAAAATACATATAAGTTGTGTGATTTCAGTAACACTTAAAAAATGAGCACCCATACATCTTTCAAAACAGTACTTATTTTCATATAAGTACATATAAGATACCCCTTTGGTGGGGAGTCTATGGTCAAATTAGGGAGCACTACTTGCTGTGGCCACTTCGCTTGAGTCTTGTGATATGAACACAGGCAAGGATGTTTACCCAGGGCCAAGCTGACTATGGTCTCCTATCCCTGAGGAGTGCTCTGTCTTTTCCAATGCTCCAGTGGATTCAGGGGCTGTCACAGCCTGGGAGGAACACCGTTCATCCTGCAGAGCTGTAGACATGGAGTCAACAGAACAATTGCTCACAATGCTGGACCGTGAAGAAATCTCACTGTGGCTGGAGTCAGACAGGTTGTCAGATTTAGCTGATGGTATCAGTGTATAACCTGAATGAGAGAAGGCAACCGATGAGACTACAGGACAAGTGAACTGGAGTGGGGAGGGTCAGGGAGAGGATCAAAAAAATACAAAAAAGAACAAAAATATAACATGAGTGTCAGTGTCAATTCCCATCTATGCAGAAGCAATGGTGCCAATCTTCTATCCATGTTCCCTTACATACCCATTCACCTACCTACCTTCATGGCACCCATCTAATCCCAAATTCAAGAAACAGAACATTAAAACACAGTATTACTGAGAAAACTAGTTCAAAGGTAAATCTGCCCCTGGCTCTCACAGAGCTACAAGCATTTAATAGAATAAGAGGCATTAAATATATTACAGAACATTAAAATGAAGACATCCTGAACTTCTCAGCTTCTTCTTAACCCTAGGTCCCCTCCCCTATGATTAACATCAATATTTCAAGGCCTGACTTAAGTGTTCAAAGCACCACCTTGGGCTGGGGGTACATAAGGGGAGTTAGGACCCAAGGGAAATAACTTGTTTTTTTCCAACTGCAAATACTTACCCTAGATACTTTGCTTTAGTCACCTAAGAAGTCTTGCCCAAGCTGAAAGCCACTTGTTTTAGTATTTTTAAAGAAACTGTTTTAGATTTGTATTTACTCTTATACCTAGTTTCCTTTTTCTTCACCAATTTAGCAGAGTATTAAACAGCTGAACTGACAGATTTATTTATTTATTTATTTATTTGATGGATACTTCAAGGGCTTTATTAACTCCTTCTTTCTGGGGACGGCAGGACCTTACAGCCGGAGAGATGAAAAGGAAGCCAGGAAGCTGTGATCTCAATATGTGTCATTGAAGGGGTACAGAAAATGGAACGCTTCACGAATTTGCGTGTCATCCTTGCGCAGGGGCCATGCTAATCTTCTCTGTATCGTTCCAATTTTAGTATATGTGCTGCCGAAGCGAGCACTGAACTGACAGATTTAGAAGAATGTATCATGAGAAAAAAACCAGCATCTACCTGTTTTAAATTGTTCTATGACTTACTGCACAGCAGATATAACTAGAGATTTTTTTTAGCATTTTCTGGAATGAAGGGGTAAAGATGGAGTAAAGTAGAAGGATCCAAAATCAAATCTGCAGTGTGATACTTAATGTACGCAACCATTTGTTTTGGTAATTGTTAGAAAAGTGCCAAACTTCTTTTGTTGTGAAGTAAAAGAAAATGCTGAAGTAATCCCAGCAAGGAGTAGGTCATAAAGAAGTAAGCAATTATCTTCTCGTTCATTAAAAGAATGAGGTTCTATTAGGTGCATGACCTTTGGGTCCACTCCTAGAAATCTCAAAAACTATAGCCTCTATACTCACACATAGTTCAACAACCAAAAAATGTGTTTATCAATAACCTTATTAAGTAGTTTCATTACCTATTTCAACAAGAAAAATTAAGACTCAGAAAATGTGTGATCTATATATTTGACTTTGTTCCAGGCACAGGACACGCTAAGACAAGTCAATCATTTGACTCCTCCCCAGTTCTCAGATCATGGGATCACTGCTATTCCTCAGTGTCCCTCATGAAGTGATAGGTCAGTTTTCAAGAGGACCAAGAAAAAGGATGTGGTAAATTAAAAACAAAATTAAAAAATTCTTCCTCAAAAGAAAAAGTCACTGTTCTTTTATCCTGGCACACAGACTTGCTTTACTATTTTAAAAATAACTTCATTCCTATGTCAGTTAGATTAGTATTTCTCAAATATAATTAATTCTAAGAATCATCTGGAAGGCTTATTAGAATACACATTCTTGGGCCAATTTCCAGCAATTCAAATTTATGAGGTCTGCAGTGGGACATAGTAACTGTATTTTTTAAAACAAATTTCCCATATATTTTTTAACTTGCCAGGTTAGACAATCTCCTCCTCCTCCTCCTCTGACCAGAGTGTATATGAAAAGTGGATGATTTTTAAAAAAAGTTTATGTGGACAAGATATTATATAGTTTCTTGCCTTTCAAACACTTCTCTTTAGCTTATAATGTAGTTGCAGTAATAAGAAAGCAACACACTTATGTAAGGCAAAGGTTTTGATCATATCATTACTGGGGTTTTAAAGTAAAAGTAAATACTGGCTCCTAAAAAGCCCCCTCTACTTGCTGCTGGGTAACAGACCCAGCTGTTACCAGTAGAAAATAAAGCCAACTACAGAAAACAAGAGTATTAAGTTTACTAACATTAGCAAAATAACATACATACAAATAAGGCACTTTAAATGAATACGATTTGGTTGCTGGAGGATACTAATCCATAAAATGCTCAGAGAAAGTATTTTAGTAGGTTGGCTGCCTGAGCCTTGTTTGACAAATGACTTAATTTAAGCTACATTTACATTAATAAATGAAAACAAATTTCACACTAAAATTAAATAAAGAACTTCATCAGAGTGTCTTTCTCCTTTTAGACGTGAATCGCGTATAGAAGCAGTTTAAAGTGTTGCCTCGGCTATTTGAATTGAAGATGTCACTCCCTTTCTCATCTTTGATATTGCTTCCAACATCCTTCACTTTCTCACAGCTTTCTGTAGCTTGATTGTGATCTGCGTCCTCTTTTTTGCTGTTGGCTAGTCTCTCCCTTGAAAGGGTTCTTTCCCTAAATCTTCTAAACGGGGATGTCATTCCTTTTCTGGCTGTGCTCTGCCAGCTTGTCCTGTCTCTATTCTCCTCAGTGGCCTTCTCGGTCCTGTCTGTTCTTTTGGCTGTGCTCCTGGTAATCTGAAGGATTTTCTTTTGCAAGTAAACCCCACCTATTCCGGGGCAGCTCTGGCCACTGATGTTGGTGCTGGACTCACGGGGAGGGGATGAGGAAGACCCTGAGAGGTGCAGCAGGATGCTGTGATCAGATAGGATACTGCCAACTGGAGGGAGAGATGCAAAAACCCTGTCATGGTCAATTAATTCTTTCCAATTAATCACAATTTACCTGGTTTATATAACATTTTACTATCAAAAAATTTTAACATCTTGACAATATCTGAAAAATTAAAGTCTAGCAACATACTTTTACTACATGGAGACTCTACAGCATAAACAAGACAGAACACAGGAGAAAGGTTACCTTGATTAGAATAAGCTGGTAATAAAAAACTGAAGTAACCCAAGCTGCTAAAATCATAAGGTAAAATACATCAAGAGTACCCAATAGCCAGAATTATTTCTTGAAAGTAACTGTGTCTAGAATTTCCAGGCAGATTCTACTAACAAAAATCAGATCTTCATCAGAGTCTCTTTCTTCTTTTAGACTTGAATCGTGTATAGAAGCAAAAATCAGACAAGACATATAAACAGGATATACAATATATGTATTTATAAAGCACAATGTCCGATCCAATTTTCTCTCGAAGGTGGAGAGGTTCCCTGCCTTAAGCATCATGGAAGATAAAGGTTAAGGCCTCTTGACATCTCGCTTTTTCAATTCTTTGTTTAAATTCTCCTGTTACAAATCATGAGTGTAGGCTTCGTCTCTTTTTTTAGTTAAAAAAAACTCTGGCTTATTTTCTCAGTTGTTAGAAAACAAAGAACTATCTCAAAGTATAGCAAGAACCAAGAACAGATTCTAATAACATACTCTTAGTTTAATGGCATTTTTGTTCAATAAGTGACCACTGGCAAAAATCTATCTATGGAAATAAACCACCAGAAATAGTTTTGAAGAAAAGACTTTCTTCAGATTTCTAAGACTTCGAAACATCACTATGTTTCTCACAAATCTATAAATATCATGGTCAATTGTTGGCCACCCACTGAAAGACACAACAGAGAGACTTCTCTATTCCAGTGGTTAAAATGGATTTCTGTTGGGAATAAAAGCAGTGGGGAAATTCCTGTTCTTGACCTCTTCCTACAAGTCACACTCTTGAATAAAATATCAAATCCAATTCAACTAGTTTCCTGGTTAGAGAACTGTCTATAATGAGACCACTGGAGGGTGTAAAGGTGTTCCTGAAAGAGCATTAAAAGCATATGAACACTGTTCATCTGGGCCATGTGTGTGAATAAGGCACTGTTCCCAGCCCCAATCCTTGGGACCTGATTACCCACTCAAGTATTGCCTGGAGAATTCCTTGGGCAGAGGAGCCTGGCAGGCTGCAGTCCATGGGGTTGCAAATAGTCAGACATGACTGAGTGACGAATTCTTTCACATACACAAGGGATACTTTGGATAGGAAACACAAACAGTAAGGAGAGGAAAGAGATCTGTGTGCTTTCCTAAATCATATACAAGCTACATAAAACAGGAACAGAAAACTGTGCTTTATAAACACATCTATAATGAATACTTTTGTATGTCCTGTGTGATTTTTACTAAGTTTTTCTTAGTAAAATCTGAAAGAAAATTCTAGCCAATCTCAGCTATGTGAAGAAGGTCAGTAATGGAGTGATATTGCCCTGGAGTGGCAACAGTGATAAAGAAGAGAAATTCCAATTTACTAAACACCCACCATCTATCAGGCGTTATAGGTATTATTTCATTTAAACCTTAAATAAGGTCCCTAAAATAGGTGGTCCCTATCCCATCTTGCAGACAGAAGACCTGACCTTATAAATCTGTTCTTTATGACCAGGGATAGAGTCAGGAATCAAACTAAGGTCTGACATCACTGTACCACACTGCTGTCACAGAGGTAGCAAAAATAAAAAAGAACGCTTAAAAGTGAAAGGAAACTTAGAACACAGGAGCTAAGGAAAGCTCTGGAAGTTTTCCTTCCTACTAGAATTCATAAGCTTGTCCTCCCTCTGACTATGTACTATTCTGGACTGTGATTATTCAAAGATGTAAATCTTTTACATCTGTGAAATTCCCACAAGTCATGTTCACGCATATACACCAAATCCAATTCAACTAGTTTCCGGTTAATGAAACTAAGGAGTCTTTTCACCAGGGTACGCAGAGAATATGGAGGGGCCAATGGAAGAAACATACACACTATTGAGCATGCTACATTTGGAGCTGGTGTGAAATGGCATCTTACATTTATACTACCCAGGCTAGTCAAAAAAAAAAAAAAAAGAGCAAAGCCTTGGTCTAAATTATGAAAATATAGGTGAATAAGAGAAATTTCACATTTTTTTTTAAACTCAAGAGGCACTGTATTAGTATAAATGTAAAAATCCACAAGGGTACTGTACAGATTATTGTAAATTTTGATTAATAAAAAGGGAGCAGTAACACTCCATTAGAAAGAAAGGAATGTATTACCCTAAATATTAGTTTCATTTCCTAAATCTTATAAATGGGTTATAAACAATTTCCTATAGAAATTCTTACTTTAAAATACTTCATAGAATTGTTTGAATTCATTGGTAATTTGAATAACAACATCAAGAATCTGCACAGACCAAAACAACTGACTTCTGCCTTCATTCTTATCTAAGCCTGTCCTCTACCAAAGAAGGACCACACTCTGAATGCAGGAGTCCTAGCTCCATGCTGCATAATACCTGGAAGCCATCTGAATAATTCAATCCAAAACATGAAAATTCAGGAGGTATTATGAGTTTCACTTTTCTTCACACTTTCTAAATATAATTACCATAGACCAAAAGCAAACTATGTGCCCCACAGTGTTGTCTGGTGTTAACAAGAGCTCAGATTGTTTTCCCTTACCTTTGCGGGGGGAACCCTGAGGAGACACAGGCGGGCTGGAATGTACAGATGACGCCACAGAAATGGTGTCTTCTGTGTGTTTCTTACCACTTACTTCTTCAGCTGTTCCTAAAACTTTCTGAGGTAAACCTGTACCTAAAAATAAAATCAAAGAGGTAAATAAGCATCACTTCACAATTAAAATGTCTACAGTTGCCTAAATTACTACATAACTAAAGCCACGATGCACAATGGCTAGTGTAGTCAACTGAAATGCGTAAATGACAAACGGGGACTAAATGACTGGGCGATGGCACACAGAGATTCTCACCTCTAGGTCATTTGTTCAAACTCACCCGTCAGCACAGATCAGATTAGAACAGCTCTTTGCTTGTTTTGCGGCATAAGGGACATGGATTTAAGTCTGAGGGCAGTGTGCCACCCCCACTGACACACGTGTTGGAAGTCTCAATAGAGAGTGCATGGATTCAAGCTCTTCCCTCCCCTCTAGAGGTGGCCTCTCCAAGTCAGGGCTTGGCATGTGGCAGGGGCAGCGGAGGGGTGGCGGCTCTGTCACTACCTGTGGAGCATCTGTGCTGTGGGGACACAGAAGAAGCTGCAGGCCTGCCAGGCCAGCCCTTTTCAAGAGCACTAAATTCACACTACAGGAGAGAAGTAGACAACAGAAAGAATCATGAATTTATAGAAAAAGAGTATGGAGCCTACTGGAAACATTCCTGCAAAGTTCTGTCATCACTCTTGTCCAAACGCTGGTCCTTTTTGGCATAGGTCAAACTTACCAAAGTTTTCACTGTTGAACCAGTAAAGAAAGCCCAACTCTGATGAGTACTCAGCATAGTAACAAGCACCCCCTTAATACTGAAAAAATTTAAAACATAGTATACTCACAGTACTCTTAGTTAAGTGCCATTTTAATATATTTATCACATAACTAATAGGCATATTACAGGAAGAAGGAAGATGGCTACCTGGTACAAATTATTCTGCCTCTCAGGTGATGACGTCCAAGTAAGAAATCAGAGTTAGACTATTCCCATTTCTCATTCCCATCACCAAATCAACTTCACCCATTTTGCATCCAATTTTCTCTTCATGTCCACAGTCACCAAACTAGATCAGGTTCTGGTCAACTTCCCATTGCTACATCAGCTTTCCACTCAGACTCCCCACCTCCAATCTCACGCCCTTCCTACTACAGACCTCCTCACATGTAAACTGGCCCAGACCCTTGCCTTGCTCAAATTGCTTCCTATAGGTATCTACTGACAACTTCCCTTCAGCATCTCATGTTTAATTCTGGCATGTCTATGACTTGCCTTCTCTTCATCCTGGGACACTGTTTGTTTAGTGTTAAAAGTAAGGACTTTGAGCCAGTTAACCTGAACTCAGCTTCCAGTTCCATCTCTTACTGGGGGTGCATTAAGTTATTTAGATCTTCTATGGAATGTGAGTATTCTTTATCTTTAGAGTTCTTAAGATTCAATGAACATATATACATAAAGTAGCAAAGCACTTAAGAACTGTGTCTGGCATTCAGTTAGTGTTCTCTAAGTGTTAGCATTAATTATTATTATCCCTCAACACTTTGCAGCTTTGTACTCAGAGTAAACCACCTGTAGCTCCATGGAGCTACCAAATTCTTCCTCTGCCTGAAGCAACTTCTCTGAAATTTTTGTATAATTACCTCCTTCCTATTCAACCTTTAATATTCTGCTTAGGTGTTATCTCCAGAAAGTCTTCTCTGGAGCACTGTCTTACTTCTCTCGACTCTAAGAGCCCCCTCTCTTTTGTTTTTTCTATGTTCTATACATGCTCTGGCCATAATAGTGGACATATCACATATACTGAAGTTATCTATCTATGTGAATGTCTTTTTCACCAGACTGAAAATCTGGCAAAGGAAGGGGAATTCCTTATTTACCTTTGGCTTTCAAAGCAAAATCAAGTTAAATTCTCAAGGTTCTACTGAGTATGTTCTATGTATAATGCAAGGGCTAAATAAAAATGCTGAGAACCAAACCTAATCTAGCTTTCCACCTGGAAGCTAAAATAGTGATACTGCTAAAACAAGTAATGAAAGTAATTTGGACAATGTCTACATGGTCCAAAAGAGGAAAAAAAGAGCATGGCCTATACTTTGTGTATTTTACCCTTGCTTCTTTCTTGTTTCCTAGCTAGGTTTTCATAAGTGGTCATTAATGAAAAACCAACATACAGGCTTTAAAAAAAAAAATAAGCAATTTCATTCTCAAAAGTTGCATTTTCATTAGATAACTGAGTATATATACCACTAAATGCAGTAAGTCCTTGGTACCCAAGTAAAAATAAGTTTTTGGTTGGTATAATTATAGGAATTCCCACATCAACATTTAAAATATGCATGCTGTCATCAAAGACTTATAGGCAAAATGAAGCATTTCTTGACTCATGAGTGCTCCTTACATTATACACAAACCATGATAGCAGATCTCCAAAGCATTTATAATTACTTTTTAAACTAACTCGCCTGGAAATTTCAGTTAAATGAATGTAGTATTAATTGTGTATACTCACTCAATGTGGCAGGGTCTTTTCCTTGACCCTTCTTCCTGATAGGGTGCAAATTTACAGCTGGCACCTGAAGCACCTGGCTTACTCTGTGGGGTTGATGCAAATGAGCTTTAGTTGCTTGGCCAGCTGACCTCAATGGCACTGGAGACATTTCTGATGACTTCACTGATTTTTTCTCATTTAAATTCTTGGTCACTAATAAGAGAGAGTAACAAAAACATACTTCTGTACTTTATAAGGCAAAGTTATGTGGGATGTTTTCGTGGTGTGGCTCCTAAACTTGGGCATGTGTGCACCAAAGCCCTGAAACACTTGAGACCCAAGCAGTTAATATCTTCTCATTTATACTGTTGAAATACTCTCTTTACTCTATCAATTCTAGCATGCCATCAAGCCATTCTCCATACATCAGCATGATGACTCTTCCATCATGAAAATCTGATCTGATAATGCTACTTTCCTTCTACAAACGCCTTTCACAAACCTTCAGATGACTTGCCACTGCTCTTAGGATAAAGACACAAATCCTAAAAGCAAGGTCTACTAGACTCTGCATGATCCAGCTTCCCCAATAACCCACACTCTGTTCTCAAGACATCCTGTATCCTTCCTTCACAGCACTGATTATTATAATACAATTATCTGTGCAATTAATCAATGCTTCTTCCCTCCACAAGGCTGTAACAAACAAGGTTATAAGGATGGATTTATATCTTGTTAACAAGTGTATCCCTATGTGTTCAGTGACAGAAACAGATGTTCAATAAGTAGGTATTGAATGAGTAAGTGAAATTATTTCAACAGCTATACACAGGAATACCAAATTTGCTAGAAGTGTTTTAAGATATTGTTTTTATAACGACATTTACTGAATGGCTCATTACCCTACATTTGAAAGTTAATTGTGAATCTGAATTTTAAAAACCATACTTAGTTGTATTTCTGTTTTATCTTTTCTACTCTGTTGACATACTTGTCCCATTACTATGCAAATACTATACCATTTACCAATTTCAGGGTCAACTCATGATGACTACCATTTCACTCTATTAACTAGGAACATAGAAACAGAAAATCTGAACCTTCCCGCCCCCTATATTCTGTCAACATTTAAATCCATTTCTATGCATTATATTGGGATTTTTACTGGCATAACATTTAATCACATATCCAGATAAGTAATACTCATAGTAGAAGTACAATCTTTGATTTCTGCTTTCACAACTCATACTGTCTTTGACCCAGAGACACAGGCATTCTACTGTTCGTACTTAATTTAAAAAATTGAGTATTGAGAATAGGATTTACTTTGTTCATCCCATTTTCTATTCATAAATAGTACCAGAAAGATCAGATTTTTGTTTTTACCTATTGTACTGATACCTATAATTTATTGTATTTTTTCAGTTGGTAAATGTCTGTAAAATTCTTAGAAAAGGCAAAATTTTCACTTATTTTACTTTTCATTTAAAGATGAAAGTAAGAACCTTCTCAGAGAAAGACTCCTCTATAATGTTACAGTCTTTTTTAAAGATTTTATGATGCTTTTCAAAGAACTATATTTAGACTCCATTTCCTGCACAGAGAAATCATCAGGAAAGGATAAGAGTTCAGTATCTGATTAACATGATGAGATGATGCTTGAGGTATGTCACTAAACTTTTGTGAGCAAAAGTTAACTTTCTTGGGACTTCAGCATAATACTAGAAAAATAAATTTCTATTTTGTTGTGCTGTTTAGTATCACATAAGTGAAAACCTGTACTTACAGGTACCATATGCAGGCTCCCATTGCAATGACATCATCTGGAATTTCTCTTCATCTGTCTCGACATCCAGACTGGAAAGATACTGCTTCACTTTTCTTGCCATTTGGGCATCTTCATATAGCTTCTTGGCATTAAGCAGAGAGCTACGGCGTGCCCTTTTTTTGTGAGCACCTCCCTGAACATCCAGCATGTTTGAATTTGTGCTGCCTTGACTCAGTGACCTGTAAGATGAAGATCACAATAATGGGCTACAAAGATGAGAATTAAGTACTGCAGACTGAAGATTAAAAGAATTCTGTTCTGTTAATGCGATTGCATGCTGATGCAAATGAGTTAAAAGATGAAAAGCATTAATGCAAAGTAATATGTCACACATGGCAATGTTCTGAGTTTTAAGATTCAGCAAAGTGCAGAACTCAAAAGGATAAGCTAACAATTCCCCTCAAAGCAACAAATTCCATCAGACCTATGTTTTGTGCCTTCCAACCCACAGGACAATTGTGACAAGTGAAAGCATTCCTTGGCCCTGTGGCCATCCACACTCTGAAGATATGTCAAGAGCCTAATTGGGCAAGTGCATCCTGAGCCAGATCTCTGCACCAGGGTTCTTCAGCACAGGAGTTTCTAGAGCAGCTCTGGTTCTATGTGCTACTTTGGACGTGCTACTGCCATCATCATTTCTGTGAACAGCTGACATACTCTGAGCACGCTCCAATGTTACCTGTAACCAGATTTTGGCCAAACTTTAAATAACACCATTTATATTCAAGTCAATATAGTCAGAGATCAGAAACAGCAGTAAAAAGCTACTCAATGCTTCCACTCACATATGAACTGGTGAGGCAACATGTGGCCTCTAGGGCTGGGGACATGGGATCTTTCTTCTGCAGTGCCTCTAAATGTGATGGAACTACAAGTTGAGTATGAATTACTACAATTCAAACAAGCTAATAAAGCTTCACAGCCAACTCTACTCTTTTCAGCAAGCTTTCTTCTACAATAACTACATCTAGAACCACTGGAAAACAGGAATTGCAATGCTATTTGTCCTTTGTAACAAAGGTGGCAAACACAAGGTTCTAGATGATTTTTATTTTAAAGGCAGTTGCCATTCTAAAATAATGAAGGTATCTATGGGTTTTCAAAGTTAGCCTCCCAATTACCCAAAGATATTAAAAAATAGACTACAATCATATAATCTGTTTTTTCCGTGCTCACATAGTCCATTTTAAAAACACACTAAAATCCTAACATTTTCACTTTAGATCAAGTGAAATAAAGCTGTAAAAAATGTTATTTTTCTTCCACAATTTTAAGATCTTTAAAAGACTGTGTCTTACAGCGGATGGAAACTTGCAATTGTTACTGGTCAGGCAGAAACTGTGACATGTTTGTTCTACTTACACAGCAGAAATTCCAAAATATGCAGAATAGTTTGGAAAAAATCCAACGGCATTAGTGAATACTCCGTTAACCTTCAGGAACCAAAGGATTATAAGGCTGTAGTGACTCTAACTAAAGTTCAACAACATTCCTGTCGCAAGTGTCAAAAGGAAGCTAGCCCTGAATATTTGCAAAGCCAGCCTAAGAGCCCAGCGTCAGCAGCTTTTTGTTCTTTTATGGCTTGCTTAAAGAAATGTGGCATTACCTATGCATCTGATGGTACAAAAGGCAATACTGTGCGTGGGAAAAAACTCCAGAAACTAACAACTCTAAAAGTGATTCAGAAGATTCATATTCTAAATAGGAAAAAGTTTTAGAAAGACCTAAACCAATTTAATTCGCTTAATATTGACTTTTTATTAATGCAAAAAAGGTGCTATGTGACAAAAATACACACCTAATTTATATAAGAACTCTTAACAAGCAAAAAATTCTCAGTATTAAGAAGGCACTGCAGTGATTTTTCTTAGTGGTACATAAAATAGTAGTGGTCCTGACAATTGATGTTGTCTTAGATGCAAAGCAATGCAGTAAAATCAACTCTCAACATTTAAGTACAAATTTTAATACAAATATTTAGTAATTTTACCTAAGTTAATATAAAAAGGTGCCTAGAAATCTAGGATACAGACAAAATTTCAATAAATGAAACACTGTGATAAATGACAAAATCTTTTAATCTACTTTCAAAATGCTTTGATATAAAAAAGAAAATGTCCAGTGTCTGCAAACATCATACAATGCAATCAAATGCGGAATGAATAGTGAGTGTGTTACACAAGTCATTCAAACACTCCAAATCCCCACTAAGATACACTGTCCAAGTAGTCTTCTTCATCATAGTAATGTTAGGAATCAATTTCTGTTTTCAATGAGAACCAGAAAAGACCAAGACATAAATGTACAGCATAGAAGAAAACACATGAGAAACACGCAGAGAAGGGAAGAAGAAAGTAGAAGAAAATTCAAGTTTACCAAGCTTCAACAAAAAACAAAAGACCACAAATAGGACAAGACTCAAAGTAAGTGGCTCACAAAAAATCCTTCATATATGTGTTATAAAAGCAACTAACTTCATGATTCACTGTAATCTTAAAATAGCACAATTCTTATTTAATCCCTTTATCCACAAAATCCATCTTTTCTTTCAATTATAATTGAAAAGACTAGATATACGACTTATAAGATACCTAACTAACTATGACACATCTGTAAGCGGAGATCTGAAACTACCTGAAAAATAAAAGGTGTCATTTTCTGAATCTATTTCAGTTTTAAGAGAGATAAGGGAGTGTTTAATTAAGTGATAGGAATTTAAAATAAAATTCTATCAATGATGTATATCTCATAGTATTAGTGGATCCGAGCATTTAAAGTAGTCTTCAATTTCAATTATTTACTATCTCAAATCTATAGTATAGTTTGGATAAAGGCTGCAGCTGATGGAAAATGTACCCTTTATAAACAACTTTCTTATCCATTTTAATTTACTTAAATATTTATTTTTATAAATATGGCATGTGAATAAAATGGTGTGGACTCTGGAATCAGACTATCACCAATAATGAATTAGAATCCACTATAGTGAGCTCTAGGAATTTGGACAATTCTGTCTTCCCCATTTGTACCATGGGAATACCAGTATCTATTTCACAGAGCAGCTACAGAATTCAATAATTCATATAGAGTGCTTAGAGAAGTATATAGGAAGCACACAACAATAATATGCTATCATCATCATATAACTGACCCTGCTAAATTAAAATCTAAAAGGGACCTACGGGATGTCAACAATGGAAAAGTAAACGAGGAAGAAGCTAGCTCTATCACTATTGTCTCCTTGTTAGCAAAAGGCATTTGTCAGGAATGTAGGTTGACAGGGTTAATAGAACACATGCTATTTTACGTGCGTGCATTAATGAAAAGGATGCAGTATACGTTAAGAAATTGAACAACCTTCATTCCAGTTGCATTCATCTCTACACTTACCCCAGACTCCGCCACCTCTTCTTCCTGTAAGCAAGAGCCACAAACATTGAAGCGTGTGTTTGAATAGGAAAGCACAGAAAAAAGACAACAGTTGAAAGTCAGAGAAACTACGGAGACAGAACAGAACAGAAAAATTTTACTAGAAAAAAATGGTAGCTTAACAGTAAAATGACTTTAATGGAATACAAGGTGGTAAAATGAATTATGACATGTACTGAAGGCCAAAAAACTCCACAATATTTAAAAGTGTGCTTTTAGACCAATTATGTTTTTAATACCTAATTCATATAGAGGCTTATGTTAATGACAAGCTTAACGGAAAATATTCATTACAAGTTTCCAGGGAAACTTTAAAAGAAAGAACTTTTGAATTTTTTTCAAAGGTATTTTTGAGCCATTCATTTAAGTGAGAGGATGAAATTACAAGGAACATAAAGATTTATAATTTCATTTTTAAGTGCAGAAATTTTTGACAATATATTTAAGAAATTTTGAACAAAGCCAACTTATAATTTAAGTATAAATATATCATGAAAATCTTTAAGATCTTGTATCTCCTTATACTATAATTGGGCTGAATCAAGATTCTTTAACATTTTTATTCTCATTTTTTTGGCCCTTTCCTCTCTACCACCTGATTGGTCTGAGCACATCCCAGGCTTGTACCCAAAGCTCCAGCTGTGGCCAGCCCCAAATCTGTTTTTTCAGTCAGCACACTGACTACTGTTGCATTACTTTGTCCACACCACATAATATATATCACCAAAATGGCCAAATACTTGAAGAAAGCTACTACATTACTAGCTGGCAAAATCAATTTAGGAAAAGTTCAGTCTAATCTAACTATAAATGTTTTATTTTTTCCTATACTGTATTCTACTCCAGGCTAGGCCATTCAAGGGAACAGTCAAGTTTACTGATTCCCTCCCTTGCTCATTTCTGAGGCATAGCTGGTACTTAGAAAATTATCTGGTCTGACAGGCTCACAAATTCATTCAGGAACCAGGGTGCTAAAATACATGAGTAGACAGATGTCTGTGTAAGATAACAGGGAATGGTGGAGCCACTGTACAGGGACATATAACAAAAACAAAAACTTAAAAACAAAGAAACAAACAAATCCTCCAGGTTTGCTTTGGTCCCTGGTTCTTAAGTCTTCTGCTTCTACACTGCTGAGCAATGGCACCTCTCACTACATGCAGTGATTCTCAGGGGCAAAGTGGGCAACTGGGTAGAGAAGAGGAGATATGACACACTCCTTCCGTCATACTTTGAGAATTTCTAAACTAGAGCAACTATCAGGTCAACTATTTCTAAAAACAGACTCATGAACTGTGGTTTAAACAAAACAAAAATTAAGAAAATAATCCTGACACACGTTGATTCTATCTGGTTACAACAACTCCATCTCTAACCTTTAAAGAACCAAATATTTTTGTTTCCTTAGTAGACTGTATTTCTTTTGAAAGTGAAAGTGAAGTTGCTCAGTCGTGTCCGACTCTTTGCAACCCCATGGACTGTAGCCTATCAGGATCCTCAATCCATGGGATTCTCCAGGCAAGAATACTGGAGTGGGTTGCCATTCCTTCTCCAGGGGATCTTCTCGACCCAGGGATCGAACCCGCGTCTCCCGCATTGTAGACAGACGCTTTACTGTCTGAGCTAGCTAAGCCACTGATATTGTGTCTGCCCTGACAAACATTTCGTTTTTAAAGCCCTTAGGTACTAAAGCTATACACACAGGCCCAGAAGAAAATCAGATCAAAAATTAAAACCCTAGTATCTTTTCATCCTAAAAATTACTAGGAAAGGTAATTTACTTTAAATTCTATGTAATTTGAGGAGGCATTTGTTACTACATGAAAAGTGAATTTTAAAAAGCATTCATAGAAGATCAGGTTAATAGTGAACATAATATTTTCATTTTTATTAAAGATACGGTATCCTTAAATCTGCACTTTCTGAACTGCTGAAGAATTTACATAAGCACCATGACTTGAGACAAAGGAATATATTTTAGAGGAATAAAGTAGAACTTATATAGATATGGAACTTTAAAAATATTCAATAAAAATCAAAGACATGAAGACTAATACTTTACACATTTGGTTAGGACCAGATGAAAATATCTGTTTTCTCTGATAACTTCAGTGAAGATCAGCAACTTACTTATATTTAAGTTAGATGACATTTTAAGTAACAATAACAATACAGAACTATCTATGTACTCAAAAAAATTAATAGAGAATTAGGGTTCAAATCTCAGTAATTTATGTCATCCTGGACACATTACCTAACTGCTCTCAGCTTCAGTTTCTTCATATGTAAAAAGCAGGCCAATACTACCAACCTTTAAAGGTTATTATAATACACTATTACCTGACATTGACAGCTATAAAGCACTTAATACAGTGCACAATAAAAGGCAGATGGTCAATAAATGAAAAGGATCACTTTCAATGCCATTCTGTAACACTTACACACTTCAATGCCATACCTCTGTCGGAACATCATAGCTGGATCCATGTTAGCAGAAGTCATTCGAACAACCTGACGAATTTCCTTGGCAATCATTCTGAGCTTCTCAAAATTTACCAAACCATCAACTTTGGAATCATTTCCTATAGAATAAAAGTAAATTTTTTTAACTTCCAAAATTAAAGTATCTGTATAAAGATAGCAGAAGTCAAGTCATTATTCCTGGAGGCATAAATCAGAAACTTTATCAAACTGCCACTTTTGGTTTTAAGAATTGATAAATGCATATATGGTTTAATACTGCTCCCAAGGAATGACCTAATGGGAGGAATTCTATTCCTATGGAAATAATGATTACGAATATTAGAAAGTGATAAACTGTGCACAGCTTCTAAAAGCCATTTCTTCATTACATTGCAGGCACACCCAGTAAAAAGTTCAGCTCCTCTACACACACACACCAAAAAAAAAAAGAAAAAAGTGCAGCTCCTCAATTTTTGCTCTCCAGACACTTGGCTCACTCAGGCAGGTACCTGCATCTATTTTTTTGGCAGCAAAGTTAATAAGCACTTGAAAACTTAAGTTTCCACCAGCGGTCATAAAGAGTGACCTTTAGGCTTAACTAGTCCAGTATGGTTGCTACGGTTTACAATGATTTAAAAAATTATAAAATGAGTTGTCAACACTTAAGAAGTGGAAGACATCCCATGAAAATAAGAATTTATGAGTTATCTGGAAGAAAAAGAGAGCGGATGGTATCTGGGGGATTAAATAATAGCACGTCTGTTTTCTAAGTGGAAATAATTAGTTAAAATTAAGAGAGGGATGGCTCATAGGGACAGACATCTTCAAGTCTGCCATGTACATGCCCTTCCCCAGAATTTGAATTTACAATCATGACTTTAATCATTAAACACAAATTTTGCTTGTTCATAAGTTACATAATCTTTATTTATTAAATAGTTCTCTGAGAAAAAAATTCATACAACTTTCAAAATGGTCTACCTTTCTTTGATAAGAACAGGAATGACACCAGACTTAAGCCACATGTGGGCTTACGCAGTTCAAACCACAAGGCAAAAAATTATATGTTCAAAGGGTAATCTAACTGTCTTTTTCCCACACCTGTCTAACACTTGGTCTGACCCTATTTATTTCCCATGGTGGGCCCGAAGATGTCTCTGGAACACCAAGTCCCTGAAGCCAAGATGGAAAACCACACGGGTCTGAACACACAGGGGGCTCCCTTTTTGCACTAAATGGTACCTATCTAATGGACATATAAACTGTTCAGGGTCTCAAAGTGAGTTGGAGACAAAATGACAACGCAAAATACTTTCAAGTCATATAAACATGTTTTGAGGGAACATGTAAGAAAATATATTTGAAGCCTCTAATAATACTTTCTTAAGAAGTAATAATGAAATTAGGGGCAGTATAATTAGTTAATTGGTACAACACAACTGATGAGAACAGTTTGAAAAATTCAACAAAAATAGGAGAAATATGTTGAGTCATCAAAAAACTATCAAGGCAGTGAGGATCTGAAGAAATAATGAAGATGTGTGGCAAGTTTAGTATTTCCAGTGCTCCACCTACAGGCCTCTGCTGATTTCAGAAAAGGTGATGAGGAGCTGAAAAACCGAGCAGTGCCTCCCTGACTTGACATTAGAGAACAACTTAAGTCTAGGTAAACCTTCAGTTCTTTGGGTTGGGATCTTGAAGGGATACACACAGACACAGACACAGACACAGACACACACACACACACACACACACACACACGTATATCCTGGAACTAAAGATAAACAAAATGTAGACTGGATAAAAGTTCAGTGTTACATTATCTCAAAATGTGAAAATGGTTTAAAGTGATTTTTGGATTGCTAGCATTCTTAGCTGCCTGACAGAATCAAGTTTTAATTCTCTTTGGAGAAATGGAATATTGTCTGAAATCCTAGATTATTTCTGTAATTTTTTTATATACAACATCCATTTGGCCAAAAATAACCAGGTACCTTTGGTGAAAATTTAACATGACTGAAATGCAAAGGGGAAAAAAGGACCCATTAAAAAAAAAAACCTAGATTATGGAGTTACTACAGACAGACATTAAAGTAACTAGTGAATGAATATGTGCAAGGTTATAAAAAACAACACTGAGAACTCTGGTAGAAAATATGAAGATAAAAAATGAATTTAAATTGTAAATCTGGGGGGGAAGCCCAATAACTGAAATAAGGAATATGCTGTTGAATTTTAATAGTAAGTCAGACATAGTTGAAGAAATAATTTAAAAATTGGATATTAGTCTAGGAGAAAATTCCAGAATAAAAAAAAATATCCAGGTGAGACAAAATCAAAGTGCTGTACACAGTCGTATAATAGCAAAACTAGAGAAAAACAGAGATAGAATATTTTAGAGCAGCTTTCAAAGGAGGGTAGATTATTGTCAAAGGAACAACAAATAAGACTGACAGTTGACTTCTAAAAATAAGTGGAAGTCAGGAGATAACTCTGTTATCTCAAAATGCTGGAAGATAACTGCCAATCAAAATTGTGCCTTAAGAATGAATATTAATTAAAGACATTTTTTCAGATAAACAAAAACTAAGATTTTATCACCAGCAGACTTGCACATAAGAAAATAATAATCAGTGTTCTTACAGGGAGAAAAATCCTCAACCATAGAAAAATTCTGAAATTCAGGAAGGGGAAAAAACAGTAACAATATCACCACACTAATAAATATCGACTTTCTAAACAATATTAGTACCAAGTGGGATTTAAAGGCATGGCAGCAACTGTATACAAATCGAGAGGTGAGAGAATGGGTATTTGAATGGTCTAAGTTCTTGCACTGCCTGACACACAGAAAAGTACTAATGAATACTACTCAAATTAGTATCAGCAAGTATAAACATTGTAATGTGTAGTGTAAAACTAGAAAATTAGCAAAATAGTGTGTAGTCAGCAAGTTAATGGAGGACAAATACCACTCACAAAAAAACAATTAAGAGGAGTATAAACTACATGGTTGACTCAATGGACATAAGTTTCAGCAAGCTCCGGGGTTTGGTGATGGACAGGGAAGCCTGGAATGCTGCAGTCCATGGGGTCAAAGAGTCAGACACAACTGAGCGACTTAACTGAGACTACATGGCAAAAGACTAATAAATTCGGTTTTTAAAACTCAAACGTGTTGTTCATCAGAAGATAATCTTAAGAGAGTCAAAGGCAAGTCATACTATATATATACATATAGGACTTACACAAAATCCTTAAAAAGTATATTAGAGAAAGATTACCTTATGAAATATAGGCAAGAAATTGAACTGAATGGATAAAAGAGGACAAATAAATATACAGAAGGGTGTCCAGCCTCATTAGTAATCAGAGAAATGAACATTAAATCACATCAAGATATAATTACACACCTACTGAAATGGGTAGAAATAAAAAGAATGAATTTACCAGGTACTGGAGACAGCGAGGAACAATAAGAATGTTCATGTCACTGCCAGTGTTCCACTTTAGTGGATTAACACCAAACTGTCTCCCAAAGTTGACTGTATGAATATTCATAAATTTCACTGTGAATTATAGTGAACAAAAATGCATGTATACTCGAGATATGTGAAAGAATATTCCCAGCAGCATTATTTGTATTGAGTAAATAGTGGAAACTATCAAATGCTCATCAACAGATTGAATGAATCCACGTATTGCATTTATGTAATGCAATGTCAAATAGTTTTGAATAATGAATTACAACTGCACTCAAAAACATGCAAGAATCTCATCACACAAGTCTAATATTCACCAAAATAATCCAGAAGTCAAACCAAAAACTAAAAAAACAAATATAAAGCTCAAGAACAGGTAAAACCACCGTATTAGAAGTCAACACAAGTATTGGGGAAGATGGAGGTGGTAACTGGAAAGGGGCACAAGTGGGGCTGCTGGGAGGCAGGAAATTTTTTTTTTTGACTGGGTGTTGGTTATCTGTTTGCTTTGTCATAATCCATTAAGTTGTTTACTTGTTTGGGGTACTTTTCTGTATGTGTTCGTTCAGTAACTAAAAAAAATTGGCAGTCTGATCTCGGTTATGTGTAAACTGCATTGGGTAAACACTGACATCTGTTCTTATCAATAATGTGGGTTTTTCCTATGATTTACTACATTTAATTTGGTAAAACTTTTAGTGACTTATACTCAATAGACTGAAAAATATATTAAGTACATTATAATTCTGTAGAATTAGCTGAAACTAAGCATGCTAATTTTCAAGTAACTTTCAAATACCTTCATGTAGAAATGTCATATCTTTCTTGACAACAGGAAAGAGTGGAATAATTGGAGGCTGCATGCTTTGACTACTAAGAATATTTCTGTATTTTGCCATGTTTCTGGATGGATCGAAAAGGTCTTGCAGATCTTGGAAGTGTTTCTCATACTTGCTTGGTAACTTTTCCCAAGTACCTCTGAGTCGTGCTACAGATGCCAGGTTCAAACCACTGCCAAAGATGAGAATAAAAACATTAAAAAAGAGGCTTGCAAGAGAGGCAGGATGCAGGTCAGGTAAGTGTATAAACCAATTTTTTCTAATGAAGCTAAAATAAGCAGACACATTTTTCAACATGTTGAAATAAAACAGTAGAACCGTAACAAAAATAAAAGGGACTCCTTGATCTTAAAACAAGAAAAATTTTCTTCAAAGGAACTACATTATGTGCCAATGGTTGCATATAGCCCTTTTTTAAAGGGAGCATGTAAATGACAAATACAGTAAATCCATTAAACATACATTTAACTTAAAAAAATAAACTTCAAGCATCACAATGTTTTTGTATGTTTTACTTAGAAATAATTTTATGGAAACATTTATTTGAAAGTGGTGTAAGTGATAATAAGCATTATATAAATATAAGTGAGGCAAGTTCTGAGACTGAAAGCCTTCTTTCTTTGAGATTTTGGCCATTCATGTCCCTGATTTCAATACTTCCATAGGTTCTAATCCTGTTGTCTGTTAGGTGCCTCTATATACTCAATGTCTCCTCTTTTGTTCTCGGCTACATGACTTTTACCTATACCACAGAATTTAAAATGTTCTCTTGACTTATGATTTTAAACTGTGGAATTAGGATATCTTTGTTCCCTCTGTATCTCAGAAATCATCTCAAAAACTACAAGAATGAATAAGAGAAATGCAGATTTCATTTCCACCAAAACTTAAGAGATATCTGTGACTCCTAAACACATTATAATGGCTATCAAAAAACAGTCAAGTCCACTGAGGAAACCAGATCTGAAAGAGACACGTGCACCCCAATGTTCATCGCGGCACTATTTATAATAGCCAGGACATGGAAGCAACCTAGATGCCCATCAGCAGACGAATGGATAAGGAAGCTGTAGTACATATACACCGTGGAATATTACTCAGCCATTAAAAAGAATTCATTTGAATCAGTTCTAATGAGATGGATGAAACTGGAGCCCATCATACAGAGTGAAATAAGCCAGAAAGATAAAGATGAGTACAGTATACTAACGCATAAATATGGAATTTAGAAAAATGGTAACGATAACCCTATATGCAAAACAGAAAAAGAGACACAGATGTACAGAAAAGAATTTTGGACTCTGTGGGAGAAGGTGAGGGTGGAATGTTTAGAGAGAACAGCATCAAAACATGTGTATTATCTAGGGTGAAACAGATCACCAGCCCAGGCTGGATGCATGAGACAAGTGCTCGGACCCAGAGGAATCGGGTGGAGAGGGAGGTGGGAGGGGGGATTGGGATGGGGAATACATGTAAATCCATGGCTGATTCATGTCAATGTATGACAAAAATCACTACAATACTGTAAAGTAATTAGCCTCCAACTAATAAAAATAAATGAAAAAAAAACACAACAGTCAAGTCAAGTCAAAGTATGCAAAATTCTGAAAAAGGAGGCCTGCAGCTGAAGATTTCAATGAAGGCTATAAACCATAGCGCTCCAAAGCAGGTAATTACTCCAAAGGCAAAGCCAGCAATCCCTTATTTAGAACAACAAAGCAGGGTCCATAGACTGATAGAATTAGGAAGGGGCTGGACTCTTGTTCTTTACCAGGGAATGTCAGGGAAGTAAGATTTAAAACAGTGTATGCAGTGATATAACATCTTGGCTAGAAGCAGTTTAATAGTGACACAAGATAGCAGAGAGGAACTGAGTTGTAAGCAGCCATAAAACTGTGTATCTCCATTTGCTGGAGAGAAGTTAAGTTTAAAAAAAAAATTCACATACGAGCTCTATTTCTGCTAGCCTGGAACACTTCCCTGGCTCGTCTTCCATATGAATCTCCTGCAGATAAGATGATATAGGAAAACTCACGTCCTTCAAAAACAAGGAATGAATAAAGGAGCCATAACATGCTGCTACAAGGAAAAACACAGACTGAAAGATCATAAAGAAGGAAAATGTTCTGACAATAAAAACTGGGACTGACTAATGACCCTAGTATCCACGATTTAAATGTATCAATAAAGTAAAGAAAGAGCAATGAAGTGATATAAGAGTTTAGGAAAAATATATATTGATTTAAAAAATTAACAAGTTCAGGAAAATTTGGAAGAAAAAACACAACTATCAGAAAAATGAAGGCAATACTGGAAGCTACATAAAGAAAAAGATACGGTTAAAATCTTGAGCAAGTGTCTTTACTCAGCCATTAAAAAGAATTCATTTGAATCAGTTCTAATGAGATGGATGAAACTGGAGCCCATTATACAGAGCGAAGTAAGCCAGAAAGATAAAGACCATTACAGTATACTAACACATATATATGGAATTTAGAAAGATGGTAATGATAACCCTATGTGCAAAACAGAAAAAGAGACTCCTATGTATAGAACAGACTTGTGGACTCTGGGAGAAGGCGAGGGTGGGATGTTTCAAGAGAACAGCATTGAAACACGTATATTATCTAGGGTGAAACAGTTCACCAGCCCAGGTTGGGTGCATGAGACAAGTGCTCGGGCCTGGTGCACTGGGAAGACCCAGAGGGATTGGGTGGAGAGGGAGGTGGGAGGGGGTACCGGGATGGGGAATACATGTAAAAAAAAAAAAAAAAAAAAGATACACTATGGTTGTGATAAAAAAAAAAAAAAAATCTTGAGCAAGTGTCTTAAAAGGACTGACAAAAGCAATCAATGGAAATGGTCAGAGTTGAGAAGAACGACAGAGGAAATGGGATTCCCTGGTGGCTCAGATGGTAAAGACTCTGCCTGCAATGCAGCAGACCTGGGTACGATCCCTGGAGAGGGAAACAGCAACTCACTCCAGTATTCTTGCCTGGAGAATCCCATGGACGGAGGAGCCTGGCAGGCTACAGTCCATGGGGTTGAAGAGTCGGACACGACTGAGCGACTAACACTTTCACTTTCTTTTCAGAGAAAAAATAATGGATATGGAAGACAAAGGCGATCTAAAATTTATATAATTGGTATCCTTGAAGAAGGAAACAAAAATAATGGAACTGAAAAAAATCTTCAAAAGTACAATTTGAGAAAACCATCCAGGAACAAAAGAACTTAATCTATAGAATAGGTACCACAGTTTCAGAGAACCTGGCACAGAACTGAGACGTAGAAACACTCGTGTAAAGGTAAATGATTTAAGAGATGAGGAAATAAAATGGGAAGTAAACTCTAAAACCTGCAAAACTATATGAAATACTAGTTGTAGAGCAATTGTCTATGAGGCTCCCAAGAAATAACATGTTAGGAAAGAACTTTAAAGCCAGATAAAGTGACAGTGAAGTTCAAATGCAAGAGAAAAATATTTTTAATATGCTTAGGATATATCATTTCCAAAAGCACTTTTAAGAAATGATTAGAAAACAAAATTCAATCAGGAGATAACAGGAGAGAGTGATGTCAACATTATAGTGTCATAAGACATCCCTACCCCAGCAACAAAAATTCAGCATCTATCCATGAACAGTGGGACCCAGAAACATGGACCAAGGGACCGGAGCGGAGACTTACCCACTAGTGTACTGAGTAACAGTCAGGCAGATTTGGGTATGGGAGTGGGGAATCTAGAGGAGACCATGAAATGGTTCTGGCCCCTTTCAGCTATGGACTGGGAACATATGCAGAACACTGACTTGGGTGGTCACCTTCAGACAAGAGGAGCTTTGTGAAGTCCAGGTTTCCAGAGGAGAAGTTCGAGCACTCCGCTGAAGTAGACCAGAACAGAAGAGTGTAAGTGCAGTGGGATAGGAACAGCTTGCCTTTGTTGGCATCACTCCTCCCCCAAGGAAGCACTGTTGTTGTTCAGTTGCTTAGTCATGTCCGACTCTTTGCTTTGACTATACAGGCCTTTGTCGGCAAAGTAATGTCTTTGCTTTTTAATATGTTGTCTAGGTATGTCATAGCTATTCTTCCAAGGAGCAAGCCTCTTTTAATTTCATGGCTCATCTTTAATTTCATGGCTTTAATTTCACCTTTAATTTCAAGGCTCATCTTTAATTTCATAGTCACCATCTGCAGTGATTTTGGAGCCCAAGAAAATCAAGTCTGTCCCTGATTCCACTTTTCCTCTTCTATTTGCCATGAATTTGATGGAACCGGATTCCATAATCTTAGTTTTCTGAATGTTGAGTTTTAAAGCCAGCTTTTTCACTCTCCTCTTTCACCTTCATCAACAGGCTCTTTAGTTCCTCTTCACCTTCTGACATTCGGGTGGTATCATCTGCATATATGAGGCTGTTGATCTTTCTCCCAGCAATCTTGATTCCAGCTTGTGCTTCATCCAGCCAGGCATTTCACATGATATATGTTGCATATATGTTAAATAAGCAGGGTGACAATACACAGCCTAGATGTACTCCTTTCCCAATTTGGAACCAGTCCTTTGTTCCATGTCCAGTTCTAACTCTTGCTTCTTGACCTGCACACAGGTTGTGCAGGAGGCAGGTAAGGTGGTCTGGTATTTCCATCTCTTCAAGAATTTTCTGGTGTGTTGTGATCCACAAAGTCAAAGGCTTTAGTGTAGTCAATGAAGCAGAAGTAGATGCTTTTCTGGAATTCTCTTCCTTTTTCTAAGATCCAATGGAGGTTGGCAATTTGACCTCTGGTTCCTCTGTCTTTTCTAAATTCAGCTTGAACATCTGAAAGTTCTCAGTTCACATACTGCTGAAGCCCAGCTTGGAGGATTTTGAGCATTACTTGCTAGAATGTGAAATGAGTGCAATTGTGTGGTAGTTTGAACATTCTTTGGCATTGCCCTTCTTTGGAACTGGAATGAAAACTTACCTTTTCCAGTCCTGTGGATACCACTGAGTTTTCCAAATTTGCTGGCACACTGAGTGCAGCACTTTAATACCAGCACCTTTTAGGCTATGAAATAGTTCAGCTGGAGTTCCATCACCTCCACTAGCTTTGTTAATAGTGATGCTTCCTAAGGCCCACTTAACGTTGCACTCCAAGATGTCTGGCTCTAGGTTAGTGATTCCCACCATCATG